TGTTTATATCCTGTGTATTCGGTTTACAAGGATCAATTTGTTCCAAATAACCATATCCAAAACACACGCACTCGCAAAACAAACAAAACCCTGCTTGTTGGCGTAAAGAATTAAAAACAAAATAAACCACACCAAAACAAAAGAGCCTCCTTCCTCCGATTAACGTCTTTAGGCCTTCCTCTTCCCCGTTTCGTAAACAAATTCTTTAGGGGTAGGCAAGGAGAGGGCAAGGTTTTTAAATAGGGGTCAGTTCACTCCAGTCGGCCGTCACCTGTCGGGGTATTTTTCCCGAAGTTTTAAAGTCAACAAAGAAGTTCTGTGGCGAGGGGCTAGGGCCTGCATAGCAATAGGCAAAAGGACATAAAGACAGACAAAACCGAGTGGGGGAAGGGTGTGGAAAACGCCCCCGTATTTCAAGCAGCAACGACAACGGCCCCCTCCTCCGAGGAAAGGCGCAGCGGCGGCGGCGGGGGGGAAGCCACCCCGGTTCCGGGCACCCGTGCGGCCCAGGCGCCCGGCCGGGGCAGGGTCCCTGCCGCCGCTCGCCGGAGCGGGCGGGAAACGGCTGGGGACGCGCGGGGGGTCACCTTCTGCTCCCCGCGGAGCGACTCCGCCGCCCCTCGCACCAGCCCGTGGGCAAACAGCCTGGGCGCCCGCCCCGCCGCAATCCCCCCGCTCGCCTCGAGCGCCGCACACCCGCGCGGCTCGGGGCCCGAACCCAGGCGCCAGTGCGAGGGCGCTGGCGCCGCTGCGCAGCCGACTTACCTTCCTCGGCGGTGTCCATCTTGTCTGGGGGGGCGGCGGTGACGCAGCCACGAGGCTCCCGCGGCCGGGGCCCGAGCCTTCCGGCCGGGCGGGGAAAAAGGGAGGGGGAGAAGGGGAGGAGGGAGAGGGAGCCGGGCCCGGGCAGGTGCGTGTGCTCAGGTGCGAGAGAGGAAGCGTGAGGAAGGAGAGAGGGGGAGAGGGAGAGGGAGACAGGCTGACAGAAAGCGAGCGACAGGGGAGGGGGAGGGGCGGGAGCGCCGAGGGGCGAGGCCTGGGCGGAGCGCCGAGGCGGAAGGGGCGGGAGCGCTCCAACGACAGGTGGCGTCACTTCCGGTGGCGCGCACGCTTGGTCGGCGGCGGGGGCAGGAAGGCCGTGTCCCGGGAGGGGCGGCCCGCTTGCGCGTGTGCAGGGCCACGTAGGGCGAGGCGCGAAGGCTGCGCGGGAGAGCGGGGCTGAAACCTGAGCAGTAGCCGAGCTTTGATGGCAGCATCTGAGGGAGAAAGAAGGCGCAGAGCCGCGGGAAGAGAACAGCATGAGCGAACGAGGGTCCGGTGGAGAGGCCGGAGCCTGGCGCCGGCTCAGGCGACGAGCGAGACAAAGGCCCCATCCGTGGGGTACTTAGCAGTGACTGGAAGCTCTTGTAAAAGTACAAGCTTGGGCCCCCCCTTCCCCCGCCCCGAGATTCTGCTGCCGCATGTCCAGAGTGAGCCCAGGGTTAAGCACTTTTGTTCAGCACCGGGATAGTTCTGATGCACGTTTTGAGGAAGTACTGAAAGATCAGTGAAACGAAAAAAACAAAACACTGACTTTACCAAAATTCCTCTCAGGGATACTTCTGCAATTGGTTGGAAGGACTACCTGAAGGTTGAAACATAATCTGTCACTAAGGGAAATTGGTGCAGATGCCGGCAGGGCTTGACACACTGAGTCCGGGACGCTTACTTGGCCAGAGCTCAAGTGCTGATGGAAGAATGATGAAAGGCTGAATTCTACCCCCATTACCCCATCCTTCCTCACTGTAATCTTTGGCTTTTTCCTGAATGAAGAGATGTTAATATTTAGAGAATACAGATTAGAAAGGCCACCACATTAGTATTGCCTGATTAGGAAAAAAGTCTTTGCAACCTCAAAAAATGTTTGAACGATATGCAGATGATTTAGCAAAGATAGATGTAAGAATGCTAGTAGCAACCTCTCCAGTCTGAGTGGAGGAATTGGAAAGACCCTTCCCTGAAGCCTCATTAGAATAAGGCTTGCAATAAAAATAAGGAAATAGAGTCCTCTGAAAAGAGAATAGCCTTTTCACAATAATGGAGACCCACTGAGTTCAAGGGCTGCCTTGAACAGATAGCCATTCCTTAAATATGTTTGTACTACCTCCCAAGAAACTAAATTGGAGGGCAGCTCTTTCCCAACCCCCCACCTCTCCCGCTCAAGCCCAACGAGAGTTCACACTCTGTAAATCCTGAGACTGAGCACTTCTCAGTCAGGCTGAGATTAGCGGCACAGATCAGCACCATCAGCTCCATCAGATGTATAGCAGAAGGATTCTGAAAGACTTGAGATTTGCTGAAGGAAGGACTGGAAGTACTTAAGAGCAGGTATGTGAACCTCCTGGCAGTAGAGCCAGGTTAGGATTAGAGGGATGTGTGTGTGTGTGGTGGGGGTGGCTCCCTCCTTTTTTTTGTTTGTTTTTTCTCTTTTGTTGAGACAGGGTGTCACTCTGTTGCCCAGGCTGGAGTGCAATGGTGTCACAGCTCACTGCAACCTCAAACTCCTGGCAGATCCTCCTGCGTAGCTGGGACTACAAGGCGCACCACTACACCTGGCTAACTTTTATATTTTTGGTAGAGATGGTGTCTCACTATGTTGCCCAGGCTGGTTGCAAACTCCTGGCCTCAAGCGATCCTCTTGCCTCTGCCTCCCAAAGTGCTGGGATTACAGGCATGAGCCACCTCACTGAGCAAGGCTCCCTCCTTTTGTCTTTAGGTGTCTTCCCTTGTGATGCTCTAAGGAAAGTTAACCTTTTAACCAATTCTCCCTTCTACATGGTAATACCCTTCTGGAATTGCCCCAGCCTTTTTTCATTCAGATTTTGGGTGTTGAATATAAAAGTAATAAACCAACATTTGTTGAGTCCCTACTGTGTATCAGACATTGGTCCTCACAACAGCTCTTTGAGTATATAAGTCAGACCTCTTGGTTGCCATTGACAGGAACTCACCTACACTGATAGGCTAACAGGAGAACTGTACTGTTGATATGAACATACTGCAAGAAGGGGAGGGGTCTCCTGGGCCTCGCGAACTGCTAGGACCTGAGTCCCTCCTCTCTCTACCCATGCCTCAACTCTGCTTCTCTCTGCACATTGGCTTCATGCTGTTGGACCAACTTCCTCTACATGACAGGAAACAGGCCAACAATAGTTCTCAATGTCACATCTTCAGCCTCACTGTGAGACAAGGCTAAGGATGATGATCTCTGGTCCCAAGTTAAAAATTCCCAGGAAAGGAAAGTTAATTGGTTCAGCTGGGTGCCTATCCCTGAACCAAATGATCGTGATGAAGATCCAGGATCTGTAGGAAAATGGACATTGTCATGGTCTTGTAACTCCCATTAATATGTTCATGTAAGAACGTGGGCACTGCCGAATGAGAACAATGGACACTACTTTGTTGAAGTGGGAAAGAACATTTCCCACAAGAAGAGGGAGGACCAAATAGAGCTCCATAGATTTAGAAGTCTCATTGTTTTCAAATTAGAACACTAAGGTTATATGGAAATACTTTCATTTGCCACAGTTTTATCCAAGAAAACCAATGTTAGAATTGGTATAGAATTTCAATCTGAAAA